GGTTCCAGGAAGAACTTTAATATCAGTTTGGCAACTTGGAAGGATGGGCACCCGAGCAACTGGCCTAGCTGAGGTAGACGTGGTCCATTGTAGAGTACAACGCGGAGTTCCTGAAGCTGGGGAATCAATACAAGGGGATGCAGGAAGAAACACTAGTGGGGCTATGCTTGGCTAGCCTCAAGCTAGAGATCGTAGCTACGGTCAGGGTGTTTGAGCCAGACTCGGTGAGTACTGCTTTGCGTCTTGAAGGTCATAAGGAGGAGGAGATCCCGAGCTGGCGGAGGTAACAACAATGCGAATGGAAGAGGAGGTGGCAGTGCAGCAGAGAGGGCGAGCACCAGTTCTGTGGGGACTACTACCTCCACGATCGCGACAGCCAAAGTCAGAGCTCGAGCTCCACCCAAAGTCTTCGTCTGGTTGTGCCGTTCAGAGATTGAGCATAAGATGTAAGTGCTTCTACAGCGACGTGCGGTTAACCGTCGTCACCAGTGGGAGGATGAAGCAGAGGTGGAGGCAGCGGACGCCAAGGAGGAGAACCAGTGAAGCCCTTGCTCTACCTTGAGGACAAGCACTACAAAAAAGAGGGTCATCAGTGACCAGAGGATTCTGTCAGTAAAGCCCCAATTTTGTCACAAATGCACTTTTCTGACGCCATATTGCCGTCGCTGTTCGTTCCAAATACTCGCATCACAAATGATTTACGTGTGACGAGCCGTCCCAAAAGCTATTTGTGATGGCTCATAGTCGTCTCTATAATTAATATTGTCGTCACTAATGAATTTTCATGTTGACGAAGTTGACAACAAATTTTGTGACACCAATGAATTGTCGAGATAATTAATGACCTCGTCGGTAATACATTTTCATCTTGACGAACTTGACACTATTGTTGTTCTTAGAATGAATGTTCTTGCCATTACGGTTGATTTCCCTAATTTTTTGCAGAGTAGTTATGAATCTAAAATTGAAAATTGGATTCGGATAATTACTGTTAATTTTCTCAATTTTCACCAACACATATAACCAATAACTTAACCAATCGTCCAGTCAAATAATAGAAGCAAATCACCAAATAAATAAATGATATTATACCATATCTTACAATCAATCTCAATTATCATTCACTTGGATTAAAAAAATTATAAAAAATCATACATCCAATAAATATGCACATATGAAAAGAAACTTAAATTTGAGAAAATAAAATTACACAAAACATCAAGAGAAGAAACACTATCATTGCTACATCTCCTGCAAGTTCCCATCATTCCTTCAGTCGCTGCAGATTTCCGTTGCCATTCCTAACCAACATATACAGTTGCTATTTGCTTATGACCTTGAACTACTTTCGTCATCGGCATCGCCACCTAGTCCAAAAGAAAGAAAAAATGAATGCGAGAAGTTGAAAACATGTAAATCTAACACTATGCAACAGATTTATCCACCAGCGTATGAAAAGTTATTGTCATACTAAATATATTTTGCAAGATACTAACCAAAAAACCTGAAGAGAAAGAGGTATGCATAGCTACGTATACTGTCACTTGTCACCACAAAATGGAAAGGAATTTGCACCTGTATACATACCTGTCAGAAGACGGTAAGGGAGAGATTGAAGCAGGGACGGAGCTAGCTCATTGAGAGGAGGGGCCATAGCCCTCCTAAAATTTTTGATTTCAGTTATATATGGTAATGGCGATATACATACTGCTTTCGCTCAGTGGCCTAGTGGTTGAAGCATAGTTGATAGTTGCTCCCACATAAAAGGCCTGAGATTGATTCCTAGATTTGCCTTTATTTTTCTATGTACTTTCAGCATTTGATATGTCAAGTTTCCATTTTATTTCACACTAGCACTGGGTCCGGCCCGTTGGCCGGCAACGTTCAGGCAATGAATTTGATATATAATAATAGATATGATAGATGCTTTGAAACATATGCAATGAGTATTTTGTACATTAGTATACATGTAACATATTTGAAACTGGTCTAACTGTACATAATGTGTTTAGAACTCCATAAAAAAGAAGAAAATTTTGATATAAGCATTAAGTGTAATAATTGAATAAAAAATTAAATATAAAAAATTTGCATTCATTACTTAAGTAGACCATATAGTTGGATATTAGAGTTACTTCCATAATACATACATAATTAACCTTCAGAATGAAATAAAATGATTGGTCTCTCTTAGAGTTCAATATGTCATTGAAGTGTTTTTTTTTTTTTCAATAGAGAGCACCTCTTTGACCACATCGCGGTTAATGGATCTAAAGTTGCAGAATTTAAAATATATAAGACATGATGCAAGGTTGTCACTAATAGTTACTTGGACAATGTATAGTGTATGAGTGAATGCCCAAATGACTCTTAGATCTCAATTATTCCCAACAATAATGTAGTAATTTCCTTGCAACAATTTTTTTTCATGAAATAAATTCAAATATGAAAATGTATGAAAATAAGAATATATGGAAGATACGTCCATGCAAAGGAAAAAGTTATGCAAACCTTTTACCATCGTTGAAGGAGATAACCAAAATGAAGTTAGATCAACAATTGAACAAATGTTTGCACGTGGTTGGCAACTTCATAAAAGTCATCTTCAATGGTGTTTTTCATTGCCCTTATTCTGACATAAGCATTGACATGTAACAAAGTTAATTATATGTAGCCATGAACATGTATATATATGGACTATGGATAAGAACAATTACTTACGGATTTAACAAATGGTGCACGAAAGGATAATTCCAGTCGAAATATAGTTTTGGATTATGTTATTATAAGTGTGAAATGGAAATATAATAGTCAAAAAGTAGAAAGCCATTAAGTATGGCTTATCGTTAGAGGTGGCAAATATATTTGATCCATTGATTGGTGGATTGGATTGGTAGATCCATGGAGCAAATGGATTGGATCCAATGGATTGAATCAAATGGATTATCCATGAATCCAAATGACATCCTCAACCTTGGACCAATATGTAAAATGTGAAAATTTTAGGTACTAAAATGTCATAATGAAAATTTTTAGGTACAAAATTGTAATTTTCCAATGATATTTTCATATGAAAATTTAAATTTTGGTACCCAAAATTTAAAATATAAAAAAGTTTCGGTACCAAATCGTAATTTGCCATTTGGATCCATGGATCAATCCATGAATCCACCAATCCAATTGGATTTGGATCAAATGGATTGAATTACGTAGATATTTTTAATGGATTGGTGGATTAAATGAATAATTGCCACCTATACTTATCATGTGATTTGCCACATATATTACTGATTTAAGTACACATACCACACCTAACTCTGATTAATTGGGTATTGCAACTTTAAATTGAGAAATCAAAGAGGGCGCTATTTTTATCAAAGCTCCCCTAATAACCATAAGGTGATAAAGTGAGATGGACACAATATAGAAATGATGCATGAAAATATGAAATCAGAAAAAAGTCATAGAACTAACTCCAATGGTTTTAGGTACACATTATTTTATTAGTTTTGTTGAAAAATTCAGTCAAAAAATTCAAACGTTGGTTGCACATAGTGAACTTCACCAATCACGTCTGTGATACAAAATAACAACGTAAATTTTAGAGTATAATATACAAATTAGCATTGGTAATTGCATGCGAAGCAGGATGTAAATTCCCTTTTCATTAGATAGCACATAATGTGCCTCCCAACTTTAAATATTTACAATAGCAAATCCTCTAAAATACATGAATCTAATAGTGATGGTAAAAAATGTGATTTAGAATTGTAGAAGGGATGATAAAAATGTAATTTTAGTATTCCTCTTCGAGTTAGGGAAACAAACATATTTTTGGAGGTTCATTTCACCATTTTGAATCTTAGTATAACTTAAATTAATAGTGGAAACAAATAAATTTGGCATGGTTTGTAATTACTTAATGAATTGAAGAATGAATGAAGGTTAGCACAAAAGAATCTTGACAATGAATGATTACAAAGTATGGTGAAGTGTATGTACCGAACAAAATATCAGTCATAATCTATAGCTAATTTTCATCAATTTGGTATCTTATCTCCTCTTGATCATCTAATTCTTCTTATGACCAAATTTTGAGGTATCAATACTCATGTTTTGTTTATCAGGTTTCTCCTCATTCCCCACTCTTAATATGTCAGTTAACTTAATTTATATAGGACATTAAGATTATTCTATTCCAGTAACCTGCGATTTCCAATTTTATAGAAGCATCTGGGGATCTTGCTAACTAAATCAACATCATTGTATGTTTAGATTAAACCATTGGGACAACAAACTATATATATATATAGGTCACACTCGTATGTTCCTGACACATAGCATGCGCCAGATTATCTGCACCGTTGATCTAATCCATCGATCATGATTATTTCTAGTGAAATTAATTATTAATTGTCAATTATAATTACTTACTACATCCATTAAAAAGTTGATGCAAACAATGTAGTCATCTAACAATTTTTCTTATTACTTTTTGTATTAAACTACCGTGTTTCTTTCATAGATAGATTAACCTACCTAAATTTTGTATGATCGATAGTTTTTATTCATCTAAATTTGTTATGTATTTCTTTATCACCCCAAACGAATCCCATTCCCCAAAAGACACACTACCAATCAACCAAAACAAGAAAAGCTCTCTTCCGCCTCTTCGTCCCTCAGTCGGCTCCCCGGACCATCTCTGACCAGCCATATCCAGTTACCAGAAATGGATCAATTGGCGAACAGCAACGGCAACAACCCACTCAAGTTCCTCATCTAAGGCCGAACCGACTGGATTGACGGCCTCCTGGCTGGGCAAAATCTGTGAATCTCAGGACACGATTACACCTACGCCTCCGGCAGGCTCGAGAACCGCACCTTCCTCGAGAACGACATCGCCATCATCAAGCCGACCCACGTCTTCAACGTCGCCGTCGTCACCGACCGCCCCAACGTCGACTGGTGCGAATCCCACAAGGTCGAGACCATCAGGACCAATGTGGTCGCCTCGTCACTCTGACCCTTGCCGATGTCTGCCGGACGACATGCACCCTCTCGGGTCCGGTATTTGGTTCAAGGAAGAGGACACTCCTAACTTCACCGGATCTTACTACTCTAAGACCAAAGCTATGGTTAATGTTCCGCCTCTTGAATGAGTATGCTCTGTTTCCATCTAGTTCAAGAATGGCGATTTGGTATTTGGGCTTATGCTTGATTGAATTGGGTTAATGGCGATGTGGGTTTTCATCCCATGTGGAGGTTGGATCTAAAGATTTCTCGTTGTGGATCTATTAGACATTGTCGATAGTCTCCATTTTGCCAACAATTATAAACTCTTTCCAATTCCTTATCCCAGCACGAGATCTCGATTCGACTAAGTTCCCTCAGTCCTTCAAGCTCGCTCAGAAAACAAAACAACCATATCAATTTTTCACTCTGGATACGGTGGTGGATCGCCGTCAAATAAATTGATCGATGATGGGCCAAGAAGCTGGGAAGGGTTCTGATGATGGTGAAATTGGGGGAAAATATTTACAGCTTGAAGATGATTAACGGGTTGGAATGAATTTTGATGATTGGGAAATTGAAAAGGATTTTCTGGTTTGCTGATGATGATGTCGTTAAAAGGTGAAAGGGAGAAAAAAGGATTCAATGGGTTGGATGTTCATACAGCTTGCCGCCTTCTGCAACTTTCTATCTGGAATTCTATAATGAAAGAGAAGCTAAAGAAGAACAAACTGGGGTTTGGAGAAAAGTTGGACCTTATAATAGGTAGAGTAGAGTAGTGGAATAAATTTTGATGGCAGTTGTGTTTCTTTAATTATATGAATTTTGGGGGCTTAAAAGTATGACTAAATGAAATTACGTATTACAATATTAAATATAGTGATAAATATTGTTGGGGGACACTATCGTATGTATAATTATTTAAGGGGTGCAAGTAGTAATTATTATTATTGATTTTATTATAATTTATAATGACCGTTAGATTATATCAACGATGTAAAGGTCTGACGCATCGTATGTGTCAGGAGCATACGAGTCGTATCCATATATATGACCTATATATATATATATATATATATATATATATATATATATATATATATATATATATATATATATGGTGGCTACTTCAGCGCACTCACTTTATTGGGTACATTGAATGCACTCACTTTCTTGTTTAATCATAACCCTTCAATATATCTAACGGTTGAAAGATATTTGAAAAATATTATTTAATTAATAACAAAGTTTATGTTTTATATTTAATTAGACCAATCCAAACTAATTAGAAATTGCAATTTGCCCCCTGTTTATTAAAGGATCGTCTATTCACTTGTTTCCCCTCATTGAGACTGCCGCTTGAATTGTGGCCGCCGCTGCTCAATCTCAGTCCGACCCTGACTCGACGACTAATTTCGGAAATCGCTCCTCATGTTCTTCCTCCTCCCCAAACGCATAAAACCCGGACAAATGTGAAAAGCTCGCATATCAAATCAGGCATCTCCGACGTCTTGGTAAATTGTCGACCTTTTGCAAATGAAACATGGTTAAATCAGCTGCCAATCCCCTAAACCGATATAATTAAAGACAAAACCCTTCTAACTTAAAAGCTACCGCCACTGTTCTAACTAAGCCGGCCTCCCTTCCCTCCCCCCTAGCAAATCGCCGACGTTCCTTCCCCTTCCTCGGTGTCCCAAATCCCACCATTCTATCCCAATGGTGTCCCGCTTCAGATGGCGGTACAAGAACAGAGTATTGATGCTGATCTCTTCCGTTCTCAAGGTGGCCGACAATGGGAATCAACCAGGGAGCAAGGACGGTTTCAGAGGACAAAGCTGGCTTGCGGCTGGCGGCAGATACATATGGATTGGGGAAGGAAACAATGGTCGTTGGTTGACAATCCTCCCCAAAGCAATTGTCAACAAATCATAAGGTCTGCGGTGACGGCGTTAGGAGTGCCCGTGTAAGTTTTATGGTCCGATTCGTCTTCTTCTTCTCCGACTCCTGACCACCACTCGCCGCTGATGGCGGAGCAGCAGGCATAACACCATTCCCCTTTTATTCTGACTCATCTGAATAGACTGAGTCGACTGGACCGAGTTCACAAACGGAACTTCCTGTAGCGTTTGAAATTGAGGATTATTACTACTGTTCCCTGTATTTATACGCTGAGGCCTCAATTGCTGAAGCAGCGGGAACCCATAGCGTTTCTGTTGCGGCTGCTGATGTTGAGCGGCTGCCGGCAATTAAGGCGAGAAGTTAATGGCGGAGAAGTTACTGGGAAAAGTATTGAAGGTGGAGGATGGGAAAAGAATCAGGGAAGAAGAGTGTTACGGGATTAATTGTAATTATTAATATGTTTAAGTTCTTTTAGTAAATATAATATAGTTAATGAGTTAATAATTAATTATAAACTCATTAAATTATCGTAACCGTTAGATGTAATCAATGGATAAAATTAAACAAGAAAGTGAGTGCATTCAGTACACCCAAAAAAGTAGGTGTACCGAAGACGCCACCATATATATATATATATATCAGTAATAATAAACACATTCTCTAGTGTTGCTTCCTTTTGCAAACCATCTCAGTGCTATCGATTAAATATTTGTTGCCACATGTTTTGCTTTCCTCTTTATATCCAGAACGCAATTTGGATACTTATAAGGGTGTTTGGCCTCACTTCAATTTGAAGAAGAAAAAAGTACTTCTTAAAATCGGACAAAATATTGAACACTCGAGCTAATAATAACATAGGGTTATATATATCTTTCATTAAAAATTGGGTTGGAGGAGAAAATATTAGGTAAGAATTGAATTAGGTCGAGGAATAGGTTTGGTTCAGATATGTAATGAGTTAAAATTGGTCAAAAGGAATCCCTATGTCAATTTAACCCATAATCCAACTGTATTCATCTGTCATCCACCCAACTCAACATGAAAAAGAATGTTGGACAATTAATTATAATTATACCAACTCGCTAATAACCGAGTGAGTTAAATTAAGACCAAAACCCCTCCAACCCGTCAGTAGCCTATGGTCATGAGGTGGAGCACTTCTACTATGCTATATAGCATTGATGCTTTAATGTACAACTCAAAGTTGTACCATAACATTAAATGTATAAGTTTAGATTGTACCATAAAACAATTTGTACCATTATGTTATGGTACAACTTTACAACTTGAAGTTGTACCATCACATAAATGTACAAGTTCAAGTTGTACCATAAAAGAATTTGTACAAAAAGTATAGGTACAATCTAAAGTTGTACCATAACGTAAATGTACAATTTTAAGTTGTACCATAAAGGCAAAAACCTATAGCACCAATACTATATAACATTGTAAAATTTCTCTCATGAGGTGGCCGACATAAGTATTCCACAAAACCCCGCGGTAAATTTACCTATGGTCATGAGGTGGCCAATTAATTACCTAATTCATAAAGGAAGCTATTAATTCACAGCAGATGGTAATTAATCCCCAACTCCTCACTGATCCAATTTCCACTAATGTGAGTGGGCCATTGCTTTTGTCTAGCCTCATATGCATGCCGCAGCTGTCTAGCCCATTGTTGGCCCAAATTACACAGATGAATGGCGGGTTTGTGGCAGCAGCGAAAGAGAGCACAAAAATCAAAACGAAACCTTACATTAAGTTGAGAGGCAAAATGACCAAACTGCCCTTCCGAAGTCTCCTCAGAGGCCAGCAAATTCAATAATCTTTGCTGTGCCATTTTTAGTTTAATTTATGTCCATTTTTTTTATTTTTTTCATATTTTAAGATGAATTTTACTTTTTCATATAATTTCTAGCTTTGTTATGTCGCTTTTTTCAGTTTATTTCATATTTTAAGGTGAATTTTATGTAATTTCTAAGTGAAATTTTATCGGATTCTTATTTTGTTCTTACATATAATAAACATGAAGTTTAAATTACAAACCCTAAAAACAATATATTGTTATGAAATACTTCGGAAAAGATATATCATGATGTTTAGATTGCACATAATTTTATTTTATGCAGTTTTTAATAAAAAAAAGGTTGTGTATAATTTGGAAGTGATATTTTCTATTAGTTATTGTTGCAATAAAAAATCATTGGCCCCTTCTACCGAAACATCCTGGCTCCGTTCCTGGATTGAAGGGTGCGCTCTGTCACACCAATCGTCGCCGCTGAGAATGAAAATATAAAAGAGTGTGAGAGAAGAGGAACCTCAATGGCTTCTTTACTCACTGTCACGGTGGCTACATGGGGGGGTGGGGGGGGGGGGGGAAGGGCGCCAGGTCGGAGGACGTCTTCTGTTGTGCTCGCTGAAACTCGGTGGCGCCTATGTTCCTACGTGAAACAAAAGAGAGAACGCAACAGCACAAGAGAAATTTGGGAAAGTTAGGGTTTGTGTTAAGGTTCATTTGACAAATGGTCCGGATATATTTACGTATTAGTTTACCAAAATGCAATATTTTATAGGATTAATACCTTTAATTAATTGCTTTACCTTAAGAAAGAAATACCTTCGACTACTGTCAATGAAAGGATTTGATGTACAAAATAATTTAAACATCCATTACAAAACTCTAGCATTGCTTCTTTTTCTATTTAAAGTTAAGATATTGGTATATTAAAAAAAAATTTGTTTCCAAACGTTGAACTTCTACGTCGAATCTTTTTACATATGGTGAAAAGGTTTTAATAAGTAAAACTGATAAATTTATTTTCCATTATGACCGCAACAAATGACCTTTTAGAGACAAGGATTTAGATCTTTACCGACGAAGAATAACATTTGTCACAAATACATATTTTTCAATGAAACATTACTGACTACCAAATTATATTCATCACAAATAACGATGGCACCAACTTTTCCCTCCGAAAAGTAGACATAGGTTTTGTCGCAAATACTTAGCTTTGTGACGAAAAATTATTGACGAAAGTGAAATGTCGTCACCAAAAGTTATTATTTGCGACAAATTTGAGTGGTTGTCGCTAAGTTTTGTCACAAATGATTGTCTTTTTTGTAGTGAAGGTTATTTTCAAGGAGGCGGGGAAGATAGAAACCCGCATTTGTATAGTTCTTCATGACTTATTGGGATTTATTATAGGTAATTTAAGGGCTATTAATAATTTGGGGTAGCAGTAGAGAACTATTCAATTATATAAATATTGTTGTAAGTGGGAATTACCTAGTAAGAAAGATTAAACCTAAATCAGTTTCTCTAATTCTCTCTCTCTTTTCCTCTGCGAAATCTCTCCCTCTCTCTATCAAGCTACTGCCACAACTCCTTCTCTTTTTCCTTTCCTTCTCTACTCAAATTCTCCACTTTCTACTTCTTCTCTTCCATTTGGTCCTTTCCTTCTCTACTCAAATTCTCCACTTTCTACTTCTTCTCTTCCATTTGGAAGGCCAAACCCTAGCTGGTCCTCGTTGTCTCAATCCCTAGGTAGAACCAAATCTCTTAATTCTATCAATAAGCGTGATTAAATCATAATGATGTCATTAATAATGGGAATAAACATATCGCTCCTTAAGCCGAGAATCGAGTAATTATGGTAGTATAAGAGATTAGTGAATTAATTTAGAGGCTAATGCAAATGTATATTGTGGAGTTGATATATATTGAGGTGGAAGAAAAACCAAATTGAAAGAAATAGAAAGATTTGGATGGAATGGGTAAGGCTATAAGACTTGGACCATGTGGTCCATTGTGATTGGTGGAAGGAGAGAAATCTGCTCTCCTACCCCCCTCCTATATTCTGTTCTTCTCATTTTAGTTCTTCCTTTCTCCTCTCTACAAACCACCATTGCCATCCACCACCACCACCGTCTTCCATCATCCAAAATTCTGAAACCTAAGGGAATTAGAGCAAGCTTAAGAGCTTGAGGATATGGAGGAGAACTTTTAAAGAGGTAAGAAACCATGGTTGCATCATTTTCTTTCTTTCTCCAAGCAAAAACCCTAGGCCCTAGAATTTATCACGGGGAACAAAATATGAATTTGTTTCTTGAGTTCATGCTAGGTAATTTCCAGCTCTCCCGCCGCCTAGACATTGAAACCAAATAAAGTAAAGTCTAAATGATAATCGTTGAAGCCTTTCTCTTCACCATTTTAGCCATAGTTGAGCAAGGCAGCATCCCATTGTTGTGCAGTACATCTTACAAATCGCAAGATGTAAGGAAACAAGCCAATACTAAACATGCCTTGAAAAAATACAATTAACATAGCCAAAAAGCAAGATGCATGCAGGAAACAAAGTTCACAATAAGGGAAACATATGTAGGAGAGAAAATTATGTAAAGCATGAGTATATTATATCCTACACCAGCAATACGAAATATATTCCTACCCATCCCACTCAGCCATATAATCTAGATTGTCGTACTGATTATTATCACGTCCACTAAACATTAATTAGCAAAGGGAAAATTGGATTAATATGGGACATTAGCTCCACATATATACATATAGAGAAAAAGAGAGAAAGAGATAGATCCATAAATCTTACTTGTCTTTCTGTATCTGCGTCGGATTGAGTCTTCCATTTCTAGAATGTCCCTCACCATCTGAAGCCCACCCGTGGGAAGAGACGATGACAAAAAGCACAATCAATCCTAGAATTCCTAGAGTTGTTCAGCAATCTTGGGGGTCTTTATAGAAGCCTTCATAGCATCCCAATTACTAAAGAAACATTGGTTAACATTTTTTTTATAAAAACATTGATCTCAACGGACGACCAACCAAACAGATGATTCATCTTTTGGTCCCCTTTTGTACCACAAAAAACTGATACACATTGTCGTATTCCCCCCAATTCCTCGAACCTTCAAAAACTCTAGAGTGTTCAACATCATCATTCTTCTTCTTCTTGGCATCGAGAGTACCAGCTGAATTCACATCCACAACTTTCTTTGAATTACAAGGTAACAAAATGCTCAACATTTTTTAGTCGATGCATTTGATTGACAGTCTATGACTTTTCCTAGTATTTGGGGCCTTATCCTCAACATGGGACTGCCATAGACCAATTTGAGGAATGATGGGTTTCCTTCGAGTCGCATAAGAGAGCGTGGAGATGTGAATATGTGTCGTCTATAGGCTCACAGCCGTTAAAGCTGGTAGGATGTTAGTAAAAAATAAGTATGGGTTGACGAGACAGAATAATTAATATCGGACAAGAAAAAATTAGAAGGAAAAGGACAACTTCGGCGAATGGATTGAATAAGTCTTCATCAACGAAAGGATTCTGGTCCTTGGGAGGGGGGGGGGGAACCCAGGCAGCCCCACAGATCTTCCAAGTTGCCATAAATGTCTTATGGGTCTCTGTTTCCTTGCTGCGTCAAATAATAAAGAGAAGGTCAGCATAGTGAGGCCGAAGAAAAGGGGCGCTGGCCAAGTTCTTTTATAATGTCATATGGGTCTCTGTTGCCTTGCTGCGTCAAATAATATATCAAACCTTGTTCCTTTATAATATATCAACTCACCTCTTATTAATTACTAGAATTTCTGATAAACTCTTTACTATTGTCGCAATGGATTTCAATCACGAAGGCGCTGGCCAAGTTCTTGTTTTTGCTCCTATTTTCTTCTTCTCTTAATTCCCCACTTCTTCTCTTACCCTAGATTTCTTTTTGTCTGTTTGTTTGATGTTTTCAGGCGCTTGATTTTGATGTCTTATCATATAGTACTCTACTCTCTTATGCGACTCGAAGGAAACACATCGTTCCTAAAACTAGTCTATGGCATTCCCATTCTGAGGATAGGGCCCCAAATACTAGGAAATGTCATAGACTGTCAATCAACAGGCTCGACCAAAAATGTTGAGCATTATGTTACCCTGTTATAAGAAAGTTGTGGATGTGAATTAGGTTGATACTCCCGATGCCAAGAAGAAAAATGGTGTTGAACACTCTAGAGATTTTGAAGGTTCGAGAAATCAGGGGGAATATGACAATCTGTATCGATGTTTTGGTGGTACAAAAGTGGACCGCAAGCCGAATCATTTGTGCTTTTTATCATCGTCTCTTTCCACGGGTGGCGTTCAGATGGCGAGGGACATTCTAGAAAGGGAAGACTCAATCCGATGCAGACAACATAAAGACAAGTTAGATTGATTGATCTCTCTCTTTCTCTCTGTTTGCTCTATATGTATATATGTGAAGCTATTGTCCCATATTCAACCAGCTTTCCCTTTGCTAATAAATGTGTAGTGGACGTGATACCAATCAGTACGACTCTCTAGAGTATATGGCCGAGTGGGATGGATAAAAACATATTCTGTATTGCTGGTTTAAGATATAATAGACACATGCTTTACATACATCCACAACACCGCTCCTCCAGATGCTTTTCCTTATTGTGGACTTTGCTTCCTACATGCATCTTGCATCTTGGCTATGTTAATTTTACTTTTTCAAGGCATGTTTAGTATTGGCTTGTTTCCTTACATCCTGCAATTCGGAAGGTGTACTGCACAATAATGGGATGCTGCCTTGCTCAACTATGGCTAAAATGGTGAAGAAATGCTTCAAGGATTATTCATTTAGACTTTACTTCATTTGGTTGTAGGGGGTCTAGGCGGCGAGAGAGCTGTAAATTACCTAGCATGAACTCAAGAAAAATATTAATATTTTGTTCCCCATGATAAATTCTAGGGCCTAGGGTTTTTGCTTGGAGAAAGAAAGAAAATGATGCAACCATGGTTTCTTACCTCTTCAAGAGTTCTCCTCCGTATCCTCAAGCTCGTAAGTTTGTTCTAATGTCCTTAGGTTTCACAATTTTGGATGATGGAAGATGGTGGTGGTGTTGGTGGTGGATGGCGATGGTGGTTTGTAGAGAGGAGAAAGGAAGAACTAAAATGAGAAGAACATAATGGGGGGGGGGGGGGGGGGGGGGAGCAGATTTCTCTCCTTTCACCAATAACAATGGGCCACATGGCCCAAGTCTTATAGCCTTACCCATTCCATAAAAATCTTTCTATTTCTTTCAATTTGGTTCTTCTTCCACCTCAATCCATATCAACTCCACAATATTCATTTGGTAAAGAGAGGGAGAGATTTAGGAAAACTGATTTAGGTTTAATCTTGCTTCCTAGGTAATTCCCACTTACAAAAATATTTATATAATTGGATATTTCTCTACCGCTACGCCAAATTCTTAATCCCACTAAAATTACCCATAATAAATCCCAATAAGTCATGAAGAACAATAAACCGACAAAACAATCCAAATAATCAAACTATAGAATTGCGGGTTTCTATCATTCTTGCCTCATTGAGAACAACCTTTTCCTCAAGGTTGGCCAAGAGCTTAATTGGTTCTCCTCCTTGGCGGCCCTTGAGCATCATCAGTTAAGGCTTCGCGCACTAGTGACTGATGGTAAACCGCCCGTCGCAATTGAAGCACTTTCCTTCTTACCTCTTCTGCTCAATCTCTGCGGGAATCAGCCATACAAATCCTTTGGGTGTAGCTCAAGGTTGACTCTGGCTACCGCGATTGTGGAGGTAGTAGTCCCCACGATATTAATGCTCGCCCCCGCTGCCGCATTGCCGTCTCCTTCTCCAGTCGCGTTGTTGCTCCCTCCTTCACTCGGCCTCGGGTAACGTTCAATGGTGCCCTTCCAGCTCGCGATCTTATCCTCTTTATGACCTACAAGACAGAAAGCAGTTCTTACCAAGTCTGAATTGAACACCCTGACCGTTGTGATATACAACTTCAGGCTAGCTAGACACAACCACACCAATGTTTCTTTTGGCACCCCCTTGAACTGATTCCCCAGCTTCAGGAAATCTTCCCGTACTTTGCCACGAACCACGTCTGCCTCAGCTTGGCCAGCTGATCGGGTGCCCATCATTCCAATTTGCCAAACTGATACCTAAGTTTTTCCTGGAACCTTATACACGTAATCAGTGTCTCGTTGGTGGCATAAGATCTCTCCAGCCATTCACACCAATGCAAAGCATCTCCCTCCAAGTAGAAGGACGCCATATGCGCCTTTCTTTCCTCCCGATTCGAATGGTTCTTGAACCACTTGTCAGCTTCATATAAGCACAACCCTACGTTCTCTTTCCCATCGAATCTTGGGAACTCAATGGTTGGATATTTAGCTCTGAAAATTAAATCATCCTCCATATAATTAAACCAGCCATATCACCTCGCGGAAATCCCGGAAACCTATACTAGAACCCCGCGCCCTCCTCACCACCTGGGTGGCTGGCATACTAGCTCCCCCAGTATTGAGGTCCTTGCTCCTCCTCCATCCTCTTATCTGGATGACGCCTCACAGCCCGAGAAGTCACGAACGGGGGTTGAGGAGCTCAGAGCTCGCCGAAGGGACCCCTCCAGCTCGAGTTTCCCTTGCCGTCCCCTCCGATCTGTTGTTGGATGTTCCGGATCGGTTCGTAACTGGTTCGACCAAAGTTGGTCCAACCAGTCCGACAGGAGTTGGTTCGATCGATTCAGTTTGACTCGAGCCCACCTGGCCAACCTATTTCCCTCTACTTCCTATCTCCATCGGGTCCATATTTGGTTCGGCCCACCCTCTTAGACGGCCCGCCAAACTTAACTCATCCACTTCCTAGGCTTGGTCCATGCCCAACCACCCTAACCCATTGGGCTCCCTTGTACGTCCGTCCACTTCTTCTTGAGTCATTGGGACCAACGACCCACAACCCAGATTCGGGCCCACGTTGTCTTACCTAGTCACCTTCTTCTTGCCCTTGAGAACTGCAAGTTCTTGGGCCATGCGCGAAGGGAGAAGCCCAAGTTCCAGACCTAGCGCCGACGGAGTACGGGCCGCTCGCTCCATGTTTGTCCTACCCGAGTCACTTCCCATGACCCCGTCTGTGTCGCCGCCTACGCTCATGTCAATGCCTCTGCCACCAACTCTGCCGCTTGCGCCTATAGGTGTCAATCGAGCGGGTTCGGGTTAGGTTCAATCGGATTGCGGGTTAGTCCGGTTCAGTTTCATCTGGTTGCGGGCAAATCGAGTTACGAACCAATCGGGTCACGGGTTGTTTGGGTTGCAAGTCGAGCAGATTACGGGCGGATCGGATTGCGGGTTGTTCGGGTCTGTGCATCTAGATACTTACTTCTTTCTCGCTCATACAACTTACGCATATTATTACACTAATTTTAAATATTTTTCACAATTTTTGGCCAATTTCTTTCTTCCTCATATATGTATTTATAAGATTTAAATAAATTTGTCAATGTTATGAAGTATATGTTTATGTGTGGATGTCATTGAACATAATTATCTCATTACCAATGTTCAAGTGGTCATTATTCACATGGTGTCAAATCAACTATTAGTCAGCTTACTAAACCTAATTATACCACTCTAACTCTACTTATATTACCACTCACATTTTATTAATCTTTGTAACATAATGGTTTATCTTCTCATGCATATATAAAGAGCTTCAATTGTACGGTTTCTACATACATAACAATATATAAAGGGCTAATACTACTGGGAAACCCGAACTATCAAGAAAGTATCATTTGTGTCTCGAAAAGATCACATGTTAAAATAATTTAAATCATCCCAATATATAAACATTTCTAGTAATCGGTATATCCTCCTCCATCCCAATATATAAACATTTCTAGTAATCGGTATATCCTCCTCTATTGATAGAAGTTGCACCTGTTGGTATAACTTGAAGACAGATTATCTATCATCGAATGGAATCATGGGTCTGGCTATAACCTTTTCTTTTGGATATGGTTTTTAAAGTTTTCTTTTCCGGGTTGGATTAGGTTAGGTCTC